ACTAACCAACCAATTAAAATCACTTAATATTGAAAACAAAGTTTATTTTTGTAATTTTTCATACAAATTATTTAAAAAAAATAAATGCACTCTTAATTCGTATTTTTAAAATACATGTTAAAAAAACTTTAAAAAAAATAATGTAATAGTAAAACAAAAGCGTAAATCGGTTAACTTTCACGTAATTTAGAATTCAATTTCTTATTTTTGATTTTTCTTTTATGAAAGAGTTAACTATTTTGCACTTTTGTTTTAACATTACAATATTTCTATAAAAGATTTTTTAACATGTACTTTAAAATATGAATTAAGAGTGCATTTATTTTATCTTTTTTAATAATTTGTATGAAAAATTACAAAAATAAACTTTGTTTCAATATTAAGTGATTTTAATTGGTTGGTTAGTAAAATTAAAATTTATTTTTACATTTTTCATCGGAAAATTATAATAAATATATTTTAATTTGTATTTTAAAGATACTTGTTAAAAATACTTATTTTTTAAAATACTTATTTTTTAAAATACTTATATTTTAGTTTTATTTTTTTCTAATGATAAATTTTGTTTTAATTAAAGAAAAACAGTGACAAAAGAAAATAAAGAGAAACAATTATGTGCCAATTTGCTCCTGAGATGTGATTAAAAAAACAAAAAACCAAAAAAGAAAGAGAAACAATGCTACTGGAAATTTGCCCCTGCCATCTGGCCAAAAAAAAAACATGAAAGAGAAACAATGGTGTTGGAAATTTGCTCCTTCCATGTGGAAAAAAAAAAAAGGAAAGAAAAACAATGTTGCCGCTGGAAATTTGCTCCTGCCATGTGGCTGCTTACATGGCAGCACGTGATCTCGTATGTAGAATTTCATTAACTCTGTTAACGGAGTTATATGGGGTAGATAAAAATGAAACAGTTTTGAAAGTTAATAGATGACTCTGAAAGAAAGTAAAGTATTTAGACTAAAATGAAAAAAATGTAACAGTTAATAGATGATTTATTAAATAAAGCCATCAATGGACTGAGGAAGGTCGTTTCCTTTTGGTTAAAACTTCAATTTGGTTCCTCTACTTTGATAAAAAAATTCATTTTTAGTCTCTATACTTAAAAAGCTCTTTTTGGTCCCTAAGTTTTGAAATCCAATTCTTTTTTAGTCTCTCCATTAAGTTTTGACAATAGATAATGAAAATTTCAAAAAAAAAAAGACAAAAAAGGAGTTTTTTCTCCAAAGTAGAGGAACCAAATTATGGTTATTTTTAGCCCCTTTTTTGTTCTTTACTTTGAAATTTCCATTATGTAACATGTCATATATATAAAACTTAACAAAATAACTAAAAAGAGATCATATTTCAAACTTTAGGGACCAAAAAGGATTCTATTAAATAGAAAGATTAAAAAAGAACTTTTTACCAAAATAGAGAGACTAAAATGGAAATTTAACTTTTCCTTTTCTTAAGAATTAAGAAACACAATTTTATTTGTTAGAGAAGGGATGGCTTGAATTGAATTGAAGTATTGCATTAAATATACAGCTTCCACTTCTAGCATTTTCTTGGTTTTGCTTCTTTCATAATCAAAGAAATTAAAAGAGGGAATGGAAATTAAAGAAATTTAAAGGGAATTCATTTCTAGTTAAAATATCTCATTTTTATAATTGATTTAATATTTGGTTGGGATGGATGGATTAGAGAACTGAGGACGGACTTCTTAGAACCCCTCCAATAATGAGTACACTTGCCAAAAAAAAAAAAAAAATTTTTAAAATATGAATCTGTTTTTCATTTGAAGGAAGTTTTAGGGGTCAGGGGGAATTCATTGACCTGAACTGAGTTTCTTTTTTTTTTTTTTTCATTTAACAATTATTGTGACTTCAAATCAATTCTATTCTTGATCTAGTTAGAAACATAACATTCACATTAGTATCGAGAAATT